TATATATAGTCACCCCTTAGAAGATTCTGATCACAGAGCAAATTTACAGTTTTCTTTGTTGACAAAGTCAAATTAAACTTGCATGACAGTAACTAAGATTATACCTGACATTTTTTTAGTTGTTAAGTATAATCCTATGAGTTAGTGCAGACTCATAGGACCGTGTGTAGATAGGGGTTCTAAGGATGGCTGCTGGGTTTGAACCAGCAGATTTGTGGTTAAAATGCAGTCCTTACATTACAGCACCATACCAGGACTCCAGATGATGCTTAGAGCAGGTATAGATGCCCCCCCAGAAAAGCCACTCTCCTGCACTGACTGCAATAATAGAGGTAAGCACCAAGATGACATAGATTTATAAGCCAGCAAGTTAGCTTCTACCCTGTTACTTTACATATATTTTCCCCAGAGACCACAGAAAACTCAGAATTGCATTTAAGGACATTCATTATGAGAAGACATGTGTTTAGCCTTTCACAAGTGTTCTGTCATCATAATGGATTTTCTAATTCTCACATTCCTGTTGCTCAGTGTTACAGGTAAGAAACAGATATCATTGCATTCATGATCCACTTTCTCATCAGATTTTGTGTCTAAGTTTTGATTTAAAATTGCATCTTATAATAGATCTAAATATAGACAATATTCTTGCCTGTCTGTTTCTACTAATTTCTCCATCCCCTCTATCCCTTTCCTATGTGATCCCAGGATCCAGTGGAGAATTTGTGTTAACCCAGTCTCCAGCTTCCATGGCTGTTTCCCCAGGAGAGAGAGAGTCACCCTCAACTGCAAGGGCAGCTCAAGTATAAACACCAGGGACTTAAGCTGGTCCCAACAGAAGCCAGGAGCCAGTCCACAGATCCTTATTCATGGTACATCCAAGCTGGCCTCTGGGACCCCTGGCTGGTTCAGGGGCAGTGGCTCAGGGACAGATTACTCTCTGACCATCAGCAGCATCCAGGCAGAAGACCCCACAAGCTATTACTGTCAGGCTTGGTACAGTCCTGAGATTGTACCACAGTGTTAAAGACTGGAACAAGAACCTCTTTCACTCTTTAAGACCCAGCTGTATCCCCATCAGAGGTTGTGAGGGCTGTGGTCACAGCTTCTGGTGTGTGTCACAGAGACTCTAGTAGAGCCTGCACTTAGGTGACTGTTGAAGATTCTTGGTATATGAGGATATATAAGAATCAAAGTATTAGGAGGAAATGTAGTTTCAAATGCAGCCAGTTTGGTGGCAGTCAGTGCCATGTAGGAGATGTGATGCAATTTCTTCAAATAGAGGCGTCATCTTTAAGGAGATTGTTTCTTCACATTCTATTCAAAACTCAGGAGGACTGAAGTCACCTTGTCATCAACAGAATGTGATGCAGCAACAGCCACTAAAGGCCTGGGTCCTCTGTCATTTGATTGAAATGATACATTAGCCTATATGAAGGACTGCTAAATGAAAGCCAGCTCATCTTCTGTTAGGAAAATGAACATAGAATTCTGGATTACTTGATAAAATTTGAATCACTGTAGAAACCGACTGAGTTAACCTAAATAATATCTATAAGGATGTAACAATTTTCCAGATTGGTTACTTTCCTGCAGTTCT